AAGAACTGAAGAGTTGTTTGCTTTATTTTTTTCAAAACACAAGGATGTTTATATATATCTCAAATATGTATACAACACAAATATATATTTACATATGTAACAAATATATATGCGTATGTATATAACAAATATATATGCGTACATATAACAAATATATATGTGTATATATAACAAATATATATGTATATAAACATATTTGTTGTTGATTGCCGTCGAGTTGTGCACTGCTCATACCAACCCTTGAACAAAAGACTTGAAGCCTTTCTATAACTATCATCATTTATTAAAGTTCCCAGAGTTTCCAGAGGCATGTTGTTTAGGAAGTTGATGCCAATCCTGCTTCCAAACCTGTCTTAAACTATATGTGTGTGTGTGTGTGTGTGTGTGTGTGTGTGTTTGCCTTGGATGTTTTTAGACCAGCAAGGATATTCCTAATCTTGCAGTGAGGTGGAGTTCTTTTTTGTCATCTAGTTTTCTGACTGTTAATGGTGAGGCTAGGAGGCAGAGGGAGGTAGAGAAGGGAATGCCAACCTGAGCAGGAGCATGACTGCTGGCTCAGCTCTTCTGAGAAGACAGCATGGCACTAGTCAGTGCTTAGAGGCTGTCGGTAGGCCCTGTCATATTGTGACTCCCGACGCTGAGCAAAATGAGACACTGCCCAGTCCTGCAACATCCTCTCAATCACTTCGAGGTTATCCAGGTAAAAGTCCAAGGGGCCAGTGGGTGCCCGTCTTGGGCAGCTTGGTTCTCTGAAGCTGGTGGCAGCAGGGTTCGGCGAGGGGTGCAGGAGGCTGAGCCTTTCAGCCTGATTCCTGGTGCGCAATCAGTAGAGTATCTCTTCTCACATTTCCATCTACTTAATGGAAGCTGTTTTCCAAGATGGGAACACCAAACTCTTAATTGCCCGGGAGTGCTATGAGGTTTGAGCTACGGAAGCCTGGCTGGGTTCACCCACTCATTCGCAGAATTGGCAAACAGAGCCTTCCAGAGAGTAGAAGGCGGTTTAATTCAGAGCTTACAGGCAACAATGCAGTCCATTTAACAAATCTAACAGCTAATGAACTCAAAGCAGCGTACTTTAAAAAATAACTTAATAAAGCCTGCTTAGGAGCTTTCCTTCTAAAAGCACCATCTGTTTCCTCAGAAGGAGTTTATTGGTGTTACTTATCACCACCCTGATCCCTCATCTCTTTGATTTCTGAGCCCTGAATGAAAAATGTTGACTGGGGGTTTTGCAGCCTCGAAGGCTCTTAGGATGCTGGGACTCATTCTCACAAACCCTCTTGAAACAGAGCAGGTATCTTGGCATTGCCTGGCAATGCTCAAAAGCCAGTTACAGGAAAGCCAACCTCTCTTTTCAGATGCATTGGTCACAAAACTTTCCTTTACCTTTTTGAGATTTTCCAGGGTGCCCAGATTGTTTTGATCTTCCAATCGATTGTTGTCTGTGTATTTGAAGAAACAGCAATGTGTCTCATGGGGGGAGGGGGACATACCGCTTTCCCATTATGTGGAGGCCCTCTCATAGCAGCCCTTCCTCTCCTCCTTCACCTCCAGGAGGAGGGGCATGCTAGAAAGCAGTGAGGGGCTGAGGTGGGGCAGGAGAGTGCGGGATAATTGCTAGGGGGAAAATAGAAGCCGCCTACCTTTTATCAGAGCCAGTATCTAATACTGTTTGGCCCAAGTACATTTCATCCAGCCCCATTTCTCATGCAAATTCAACATCTAGAGACCAGCCTGCTACAAAAGTTGAATTTGCCTCCCCACCTGCATTCTGCTTGACTTTGAAAGGAGTATCCTGTAGCTGATTGTTAACTGGGTCCCGCCACGGGGAAACTGTAGGAGAGACGCTTTCTCTGAGCCAGGATCTTATCCTCATCAGGCTTCTCTCTAGAAATCAAAAAGCGCCTGAGCTTTTGTTAAGGTGGGCTTCACAGACGAGAAAGAGTGCCATTAGAACACTCCCCGAGTTCATGCGGGAACACCGCTGACATGTCCTTCCAGCCCTAGGGTATCAGCCTCAGGCGAATTGACACCCTGGCAAGGAGCCCTTCCTGAGGACTCATGGGGCCAAGCCCCGTGTTAAGCAATTTGCCTGCATTATTTCAGTAGATCCTGTATCAGCCATACAAATAGGACTCCAAGTCTACAAACTGAGGCTTGGAAAGGTCCAAGGCCACACAATTAAAAATGCTACAAAGCCCCAGGCTCTGCTTCCAGAACCTGCATTCTTCAGCACATATACCATAATCCCAGGGTTAACAATAACAGGTACTAGCTAGTGGGGCACACTCCTGATAGAGTCTCCTTTGTAGATTTGCAATGCAGAACCACGTAGAAAGATTAATAGCTTTCTCAGTGTTGTGTTCCTGTAGAGGAAATAAGCCATGTACTCTTCACATATAACACACACCATTTAAAATAGGTAGCATGAACAGGAAACCAGTGCACAGCTCACTAATAGCACACAGCTTACAAAAACCATACATTGTGTGCTTTATCTGCAAAAATACAGTCCTTGCAAATATTCAGCCATTGCAGACCCTATGGACCACTGTTTTATTGTCACAAACACAAGGTCAGCATGAATAGGAATTAACTGAAAACAATAGGTTTGTTTTTAAATACTAACAGATAGGTATCTCATCTCATATTCAGAGTGACATGGTTGGATAGTATCACATCCATTCAGGACATAGGATACAAAGGCCAAGAGGAGCTAAGCAATTTGTCCAACATGCCACAGTTAGTAACTGGAGGTTGATGGTGGTGGTGTTTCTATCCTTGAGTCTATTCTAACTTATAGAGACCCTAATTGACAGAGCAGAATGACTTGTAGGATTTTTTGGGCTGTAACCTTTTTAGGAACCAATCACCAGGTCTTTCTCTTTAAAAGCCACTGTAAGAAACTGTCTTGAAACTCTAAGGAGCAGTTCTATCCAGTTCCTCATGGTACTTATGAGTTTTAATCAACTTAATGGCAGCAAACTGTTTTTAGGCTAGTGCTTGGTATACCATCGGTGCTCAGTAAATGTTTAATAAAAAAGGAGGAAGAAGCACAAAGAGTTAATTCTAGGTCTTAGGAAACAGAAATTCTTTTCCCACACATAGATTTTAGATTCTAGTGCCAATTTTCTGCTCAGGCAGTAACATCTGTTAACAACAGAGACCAGTCAGAACCGACTGACACTTTGGGCTACATTAAATTTGATTTGAGCTTGAAAGATAATAATAATATAGTTCCTCTTTCCTCTCCCTTCAATCTTTATCCATAAAATACATTGTATTTATACTGTACAATATGGATATGTGTCATGTTCTATAAACCTATGATATGCTATTTCATGGAACTTCAGAAGAAAATAAGGAACTTAGGCATGTGACTGAGAATTAAGTCTTTTTGTAGAATCTACTTGTTTACTTGGTACTTTAAAGTCTTCAAAAGCCCTTTCACTCTCTGACTCTCTCAGAACCCTGAGCCATGGAAACTTTAATGGTTGGCCCTAGCTCTTTTCTCAATGTTTATATACCACCATTGGAAGACATATTCTCAATTTAACAATAAGTTTCGATGAAATTCTACTATACTATGGGAACTTGTTGCAAACAAGACACATCTCAATCTCTGAAACATTAACATAGATGCACTTGAAGGTAGGGGCATATATCTTAAAACTAAGGTTTCTAAGTAGCAGAATAGTTGCTTAATCAGGTATTCTGAGTATTTGAATATATATATTTTTTTTCACTTCTCAGCTGCATTATAAACTCCTACAAGATAGAGATTATCCCCCCCTATTTTCTTATCTCTCAAAAGGGGTTCCTGTAGGCTTTTGGTTGATGGATAAAAGAGATACTTTCCCTCTAAACACAAAAAAATTAAAGCCAAATCTTATTTTTCTGTTCTTCAATTTCAGGATGCTAGAAACTCCCCAGTAATAGATCTGGAACTTTCTTGAAAGGAACATTTCTTCCCCCCTACTTTTTTCAGGGGTATCTAGCTTGGAAACCAAGGATTGAATTAAAAAGGAATTTTTCTAAGTTACTTCAACATCATAGCTCTGGGAGCTTTAGACACACAGAGTTCAGTAATTAAAAAGTAATGCTTTATCAGATGCTCTGCTGGAGAAGGAGGAACAATTTCCTCCTGTACCAGTCAGATTTGATCTGATAGCGCACACACATAAACACACACAAATAATAATAAAAAACAAAAAATAAAAAGTAAAGCTTTACAGTAATGTTGTAGATATCAGAGTCAATTTTCAAATAACAAAGGAAGAAAATGGTTCAAACATTTGTGTTAACAAAAACAGCCTATGTGGAGTTTGTTTGGAGCCTCAGCTGTACCTCTACTAAGCTGGAGAGACTTTATTACTTTAAATTTTAGGTACCATACAAGAAAAAACAAGGAAATAAGAAATAAAGACATATACCATCTGTAACTATGCAGAAATAGCCTCTGATTGAAGTTCTTTTTCTTATGCAAAGGGAGAAAATTTCAATTAGTATTCCAATTCTGATTGAAGGCATTTTTTGAAAAGTTTCTCCAATTCTATGAAGTAAAAGAAATGAGACTCAAAGGGCTGTAACTGAGCTCCCACTGGATTATTTAGCAAGCCCCTTTCATCCCCCTCAGAAGGGTGGATAATGCGTGTTCATTGTGATTTATCTGGGGCTGGTGTCTTTTACAGTCCCTGGCTATAAAAAGTCGAGCAAGGGCTGGATCAGGAGATGTGGGGAGCATTCGAGAGACGGTGCCCACAGTCCAGAGAGAATGAGACAGTCAGGGACATGAGCAGCTGTGGGTGCCATTGATTTTCTGGTGGTATGAGTCCCCCTTCCAAACTCTCACCCCAACAGGGAACGATTAGTAATGGGGGGGCAGACACCACTGCTGTTCTTCTTTCGTGAACTCCCCCAAAACTGTGTGTTCACTCTGTCCTCACCCTTGACTTGAATTTCTCATTCCTATTTCTGATCTAGAATGATTGAGGCGTGGACCCTGACAGGACTGTGAACATCTGGCCAGCTGAGTGTGGCCACACAGCAAAGGCCCGGCTCGGAGAAGCAATGGTGATGCGGGCTTTTGTCCTGCTGGCCGTCTTTGCGGAAGCTTCTGCGAGATCATGCACTCCAAATAAAGCAGGTATGTCCGAGCCTGGCCATTTTCTGAAGAGCAACATTTCCTGAAAGTTTTCTTTTGCGAAGTTCAGAGCAAGGGAAGGCAGAGATGGAGGGGAGGAATGATGTATACTGCATTGAAACAGAGGAGGGAAAGAATTGTTTAAAAGGAATATAGGATTGGGTACTATTGTCATGACAGGAGTCCAGAATGAAGGCTGCACAGTGCAGGACTTGGGGGGAGGGATTGCATAACAATGAAAGAGTTTCTCTTTTACTTTTCAAGAAGAGTGAATTGGGCCAGGGAGATGGGCAGGGAAAAGAGTGCAACAACGAATGACTGGAAACCCTAAGTCTCTGTAAGCTTTCATTAAAATTAATTAAAAAAGAAAATGCAGTAACGGAGCTAAGAAGCATTGAGACCTCTAGATACTCACCTGACTTTGCCCATAGGAAATAGAACGGTACTGAATAAATACAGACTTTGAAATAGATATAGATGTCTATATCTAACTTTCTCCCAGCCATCGAGCTAAGCCACAAATTACAACAAGGGATGGAAGGAGACTGCTCATCTCTCTCTCTCAGTCACTGGTAGATTCAAAGCGCTGGAGATGCTTGGTTTTTGAGTTAGTGGTACAACTTGCTGTGGACTATCCCATGAGAGTATGTGTGTACACATGTATCTCCAAGCCTACAGTCTATTCTGACTAATAACGGTCATTCATCAGGTATTTAAGGCTGTAAGTATTAATTGGAAGAGACCACCCATCTTTCTCTCAAAGGACAGCTGGTGAATTGCAACCACCAACCCAAAACCTTTCAGTTAGCAACTTGACCACGGAGTGTCAAGTACTATACGGAGCTCTGGGGGCGGGTGTAGTGTGTAACATGTATGACTGTCAAAAGGTTGGTGATTCAAATATACCAACTGCTGCACAGAAGAAATATGGGCAGCAAATAAAGACTTACAGACTTGAAAACCAGTAAAGGGTCCTAATGGACTCAGTGCTGTGAGCTTAAATGTGTATGTATTTCTATTTACTCAATAAAGTTCAGTCCTGTGTCAGAAATCAATTTGTGCATGAAATGGACTTTTTTTTTTTAAGTTCCATGATCATTTTCATGGACATTTCACTTTCTCATTGTCATCAAGTCAGAACTGTCTCACTGGTGACCCTCCCTTGGGTTTTTAGGCTGTGAATTGCACAGGGGGAGATTGCCCATTTTTCTCCTGCAGAATTGCTGGTAGATTTGAACTGGCATCAGGCATGGGTTTTGAGTTGGCAATGCAGCACTCTATGCCTACACCACTATGAACTTTCATGGACATTTGGAAAATATAAATATAGACATAGACACAGACACAGACATAGACATCCCTCTGGGGAGACAATGTGGTGTGCTGAGCTACTAGCGAAGGATGACTGTCCGAATCCACCAGCCACTTCACAGAAGAAAGATGAGCAGTCTCCTCTCATTAAGATTTATATCCTCAGAAACCCAGGTAGGGTCATTGTAAGTCAGAACCATATCCAATACATACATTCTGAGGCTTTGTAAATACACCCCTTCATATAAAGTTTTTAAAAGGATCAATTTTAACATTGTTAATGTGGTGCAGATATTACATAGAACTAGTAGATATTATGACAGTGGGACGTCAAGAACTCGTGTTTTAAGAATATTTTCATTGTGGATCTTAAGGAACAGCAGAGAAAGAATTTTCATGCAGCTTCTTTGCTTGTTCAGGTATCACCCTTTTTTCTCCAGGTGGGTTGGTATACCACATTTTAAATCTTGAGTGTGCTCTTCCCAGATGTCATCCTTGTGTTCTGTTATCCAAAAACCATCATCACCAAAATCCCTGAGTGTCCTTATGGATGGGAAGTGCACCAGCTGGCTCTTGGAGGACTGTGTTACAATGGCGTCCATGAAGGAGGATATTACCAATTTGTGATCCCAGATCTGTCACCTAAAAACAAGTCTTACTGTGGAACTCAGTCAGAGGTAAGCCCTGGTCACTTCATGGTGAGTAATAAGTCATGACTGACCTCAAAAAGTCAGGCATCTATTGTCCATCCTTGAGCGGATCCCAAAGTCACCAATTTCCTTTGAAAAGTCAAACTTGAGTCTAAATATAGGAATTTGTTGGCATGGTAATATTTAACTTCCTCTGCCCATTTTAAATAAGTTTTTGAATTAAATGTTATGTAAGTCCCCCCACCCCGAGTCACCCATTAATACAAGTAGTTAATACATTCAGTGGCCAATCAAAAAGTTAGAGATTCAAGTCAACCAAAATACACCTCGGAAGGAAAACTAGGTGATCTGCTTGCAAAAACTCAGCCATTAAAAACCTGTAATTGTCTCTTACACACATGAGATTGCAATGATTGGAATTGACTTGATACAAAATGACTCCTTTTTTACCAACATCTTTTAAGCCACCTTCTCTCATGTAGAACAAAATATATCTCATATCCCTGCACCTTGCTTCCAAGGAGCCCTGGTGGCATAGGGTGATCACAGTATTTGAACCCCTTACTGTTCTATAGGAAAAAGCTGAGTGATCTCCTCTTGTCAATCTTGTTGTTGTTATGTGCCATTGAGTTTGGAACCAACTCATAGCTGATCCTCCAGTGTGTTTTCAGAGGCTGTAAATTTCAAGGGATTTGCAAGAGATTGCCCATCTTTCTCCCGAAGAGCAATTGGTGGATTCAAACCATGTATGTGCCTTTAGGTTGGCAGCACCACTCCTTACCTCTAGGCTACCAGTTTGTAGATCTTTACAACCTCAGAAATCTGATGGAAGGTTGCCATTAGTTGAAATCTACTCAACGGCTATAGGTTTGGTTTTTATTTACTTGCTTCTAGTTCCCGGGCAGGGTTTCCAAAGTGACATCCTTTCCAGGAGGAGTAGGCTCTCCTTTGTCCCGAACTTTGAAGTGCTTTTTGGAAGAACATTTTAAAGGAGGAGTCCAAAGTGTAACACAGTTCATGAGGAGGTCTTGTGAAAGACTTAAAGTCAGAAGTAAAAGGAACCACAGGCTATGAATCATAGTACTATAGAAGAGGGAACTGAGACCTCCTGACAAAGTCACTAGGTCAAGGCCACTGAACCAGAGTCATAAAATCTTCCAGGTTATGTTTAGCCTTCTGCTGCTTCTGGTCTGAAGGGATGAGAGGCGTGGGAAGTTCAAAACGCTTCCAGGACTGCCTCATTTTCCTAAAGACCTCACAAAAATTCATCAGCTGAATGGTAAGAGTCCTGTACCGGATTAACAAAGGCTTTATTTGTTTGAGAATCCTAAAAGGGTGAACTAGAAATCACTCCTGTAGTTCTAGGTACACCACTTCCTTTGTGGACATCTCAACCCTTTCCGGCTCCAACATTGTATTATTCTCTAGTCCAAGTCAGATCATCTCAGAAACAGTACTCATAGTTGAACAAAAAAGAGCATAAAATCTGATCTGGAACTGAAAGCTGGATGAACTCATTCACCTGGATTCTTGGAAAGGGAAAATAAGTAATTAGGAAATAATCCTGAGCTGGCTCTTTCTGGGTCATAAGCAAAGTGAGTTTATGGTATTCCACCCCACCCCATGTAAGGTATTCAACTTAGATTATTTAAACATTTCAGCTGAACAGACTTCAGAATTTTACCAGAATTTTCAGCTCCTCCCTAACAAGAAAGAGCAGCATCCCCATGGCAGACGTTAACGTTTCCTCATTGTTCTTTCTCCCAAGTCATATTCTCTACTTTTCCTAAACCAAAGTAACAAACAGATATGTCTTGGAGAGAAGGTCCAGCCAGTGTGTTCCTTAGAGGCAAGGATAGGTGGGTATCTCATATTCTTTGGACGTGTTGCTAGAAGCGAGTTGTCCTTGGAAATTCCTTGGAAAAGGGCATCGTACTAGAAAAGGTGGAAGATCAGTGAAAAAGAAGACCCCCAATGAGATGGGTTGACACAATGACTGTAGCAGTGGGCACATTCATACATGTCAGAGATGAGGAGGATGACACAGGGTGGAATAGGGTTCAGCTCTATTATTCACAGGGTCTCTCTGAGCCATACTTAACTCAACAGCACACAAAAATAATGTGTCCATCATGGAGCGTGTGACTACCCTAAAAACTTCCTTCCTTTCTCCAGTACAAGCCCCCCATCTACCACTTCTACAGCCACATCGTTTCCAATGACAGTACCGTGATCGTGAAGAACCAGCCCGTGAACTATTCCTTCTCCTGCACCTACCACTCTACCTACTTGGTGAACCAGGCTGCCTTTGACCAGAGGTAAGTTGCTCCGTGGAGTGGAGGGCTGGCTGTCTTGCGTGTGTCTTACAGTCTCTGCCAATCAGGCATGTTTCAGTCCTTATGCAAAATTCTCTCCCCTTTTCAGAGTGGCCACTGTTCACGTGAAGAATGGGAGCATGGGCACTTTTGAAAGCCAATTGTCTCTCAACTTCTACACTGTAAGTGGTCTCCAGGATCCTTTTACTGCCCTGTGGGTTTTTTCCAGATGACAGGACTCTTTGACAGGATTTATGTGCAAAGCTTCCGCCTTTGATTCAGGCTGCGATATAAGCTTTGGTCTAACTTTAAACCTGTTTATGGACTAGATACAGCAGGAAGTACAATACATAGACTGGTTAGAATGATTGAAAGGTGCCATGGGGGATATAAGACCAACTTTCCCATTTTACAGATGAGAAAACTGAGTCAACAAAAATCTCATGACTTCACCAAGGTCAAGAGTCAGGAAAATAGCCAGTGTGTCCCACTCTTAATAAAAATTAGTTTCTACAAACTTCTTGCTTGAGAGACGGTTTGGGACTGGCCTCTACTGCCTAGTTCTTTGGCCTCTGAAGTCTTTAGTTAGTGTACTTCCCCAGGCATGTTGCCTATGTTGACATTGAAATTAAAGGCACACTTAGGCCTCTCTCAAAATAAAGTGCTACAGAGAAACCAAATATGCTATGGCTGTTAGCCTAGCTGTTTCCCTGCTTGGAAGAGGTACTACAGCTTCCAGTATGAGGAAGCCTGTGCCCAGACACCAGCCCACTTGGCTGGGGAAAGATGATGGCAGAAATAGAACCCTTTATACAACAATATTACATCAGGAAGATGTCCTTCAAGGGCATAATGTCCAACCTTCTCATTTCACAAAGGAAAGCATTATCTACCTGGCTTAATTGCCTTTGAATTCCTTGACCTTACTTGACCTGCTTTCCAGAGGCTATTAACCCTTCTAAACTCAGAAGGTGAGCTAGAAGGATCCTAAAACAATCTAGGCCATTTGTAGACCAGGATTTGAAGGCCAAAGGAAGGAAATATTTACCCAAGATTCCACAGGTAGTTCCAGAGTCCAGTCTAGTATCTGGAGCTCTTAACCTTAGTTTCTTGGCTTACTTCAAATGCACATGGTAATGAAACTTAAATTGTAAGGCCTCTCACTCTCACATATCTCTTTTAAGGCCCCTGTCTAATTGTATATTCAAAAATGTTACTCTTTTTATTAAAGAAAGGTCCATAATATGTATAAGCTTACAAACAACAACAACAAAATCACTCCACACTGATATTCATTCCATTTCAATTCATAGTGGCCCTATGGAATAAGATAGATCTATTCCACTGGAGCTTCATTTCCAAGACTGAAAATCTTTACTGAAGCAGACTGGCCTCCTGTAGAGAGCAGCTGGTGGGTTCAAACTGCTCACCTTTTGAATTAGCTGGTGAGCACTAAGTCACCTTGCTACCAGAGCTCCTATATGAGCTTACAAGGCTCAGACAATTTTGATCAAACCTTGGTCACACACCGCTAGTGGCCAAGTCTTGAGAAAAGAGGTCTCATACAACCCCAGGATTGATAATCAGGGCGAGTGAGTACAGTATGGGGTGCCAGGAAGAGCCAGGGTGGTGACAACACTGTAGTCACTGATGAAGGCTGTCCAGAGAAAAGAGGCTTCCAACAAGCTGAAATCCCTCTCAGGAGAGATTAATGACAGGCTCTCTGGAGACTAAGGTGCACCTGATACAGGCTATGGTTTTTGCAATCACTTGTTATGCATCAGAGAGTTGGACAATGACTAGGGAGGATAGAAGGAGAATTGACGCCTTTGAGCTGTGGTGCTGGAGAAGAGTATTGAATGTACCATGGACTGCCAAGAAAACAAACAGATTCATCGTAGAGAGGATTAAACCAGGCTGCTCCTTGGAGGCAAGGATTCTGGGGCTTCGCCTGACATACTTTGGACATGTTGTAAGGAGAGACAGGTCTTTAGAGAGGGACATCATGCTGGGCAGAGTGGAGGGACAGCGCAGGAGGGGAAGACCCTCTATGAGGTGGATTGATTCAGTGACTGGGGTAATTGGGATGGGTGTGTCAGAGGCAATGAGATTGGCACAGGATAGAGCAGGGTTTAGGGCTGTTGTACATAGGGTCGCTGTGAGTCGCAAACAACTCGACGGCACATAACAACAACAACAAGCATTGCCTATTGAATTCCTGTCCAGAAGTACTGGCTGCTATTTCAACCAAACAGAATGCAAGGATGAGCTAGGCAGGTGCCATAACAGTTAGGAAGGGAGAGACAGCAGGATTGTAAAAAAATTGTTCCCCACCATTAGCCACATGGGAATGAGTTTCAAGACATACGTATCAACTCTTAGAACTGGAAGGAAACTGTCCCGTTCTTTTAAGGAAAATAAAATAATATGAACAATTAAGAGGGCTGAATAGACAGACTGAACAGGATATACCCTTGGATTGTTCTAGGAAGGACTGTTCTAGACTTGCCTGGAGGCCAACTAAATCAGCTCTGGAATCAATGAACCTCAGCAAAGAGAAAGTTCTGCTTGTGACAGACTTGTGTTGAAATAATTTTTTTTTTAACATTTCCACTGTGGATCTTATTGAGAAGGTAGTTACAGTAGTGTTGACCTGGTTTGCATGCATGCAGTCAGCTGGGGTTGAGGGTGGCTCTCTGCAGAGCTGAGGTGCAAGCTGTGTTGAAATAATTTGACCACGGGTGCCATCTCCTATGCGGGCCCAATGCAGTTGGTATTTTCTCCTGCATCCTCCCTCCTGTTTTCAGCACATTCTTGTGTGTTTCTGAAGCAACAACTGATTCCCTGCATATATTTCCATCAAATTACCAGGGACAGAGCCGTGCCCTACATAGCACAATGGAATCAAAGCTTGGCTAATTACTTAGCATTCTGAGAGCCACAGATGCTGGGCTCCAAAAGCAGGAGTTTCACTCTGTGTGCTTCCTCTCCTCTCTGTCCCCGCCCCACTCACTCCTGCCAAGTGCCCATGCTTGGGTTTTTTCCCAGCAAACAGCTATTTTGATTCTCAATCCAAAACAAAGGGAGGAGGAAAAAAATAAAAAACAACAAAACAAAGGGAGGTAGTCTGGCTTGGAGGGGTAATCTTGTACCATGGTTAAGAGAATGAATCTTGCTGTGAGACCTAAGCAGCAGCCTGGTTCTTCTATGTTCTAGCAGTGTGACTTGGCCCTCTGTATCCCTGAATTTTTTATGTAGGGATAATTACAGCACTCACCCTATAAAGTTGCTATGAAGATTAAATGAAATAATTGTGTGAAGTGCTTAGCACAGTGTATAGCACAAGGTAGGAGCCTGAGAAAAGAACTTTTGATTGCAGCCTTTGACCCCATCTAAAGCAGAATCTCCTGAACTGAGAGATTCTCAAGAGGAAATACTAAACAATATCATTGTCTTTATAGGGTGGGAATCAATGTCAGTGGTGGGATTAAGTTGACCTTCACTCAATTCAAGCCACAGTGGCCATTCTGCTTAGAGAGTATTGAAAATGCTTGAATAGATGAAAAGTAAGTGATTGGAGCCAAAATGAGAGAGTCAGAACAAATCTGAGAGATCAGCAAACTTGACCAGCCACAAAATACATCTGCGAAGTCACTGAGAGATCGTCTCCCAGACCCTTCTAAGGACAAGCATGTGAGCTGAGCCTTCCTAGGTTAGACAGATGAACAGTAGAAATCCATCACTAGCAATGCCTGTCTACTGAGCTTGGTTCTGTCTTTTGAAATAATTACAGAGAGTTATGCCGCTGATAACCCTGCCCACATCCCAAGACAACCAGCCATCTCCAGCTTTGCCCAAGCTAGACATCTTCCCAATGGTGGGTCATTCAGTATCCTAGTCATTCTTCCTGGGCTCCAGCTTGGCCCTGCCCCTTTTCAAAGGTGGCAGCCAGAAAGAAAATAGTCTAGACATTCGAGATTATTGAAGATTCTAAGAAACTGTTCTAGGGAAATATTAACTCTGGAGCTGCTCTCTCTCACAAGTATCTCACAGTAGGATTGTGAGCAAAAGTATCTTCTAAATCGTTTCCAAATAAACTGTAGCTAAACTAGCAGTATTCATCATTAACTTGTACCACTGGTGACTTAACGTTTTCATCAGATGAAGGGATTGGAAGGCCTGATTTCACCATCAGAAAACCTTCCCTGTGAGGCAGGTAAAGGAAAAACTGATTCTCCTTTTACAAGCAGTAAAGAAAAACTCCTAAAGGCTGTCTGGCTGGTAGCGTCTTCAGTTAGTGGTTGGGCTAAGATTATCCCAAGGTCCCTGTCCTTTCCTCTGGTGTTTTTGTCTCAGAAGACCAAGTAGTAATTATCACAACTAAATGAACTCAAGACTCCAAAACTGGAGGGGATGGAACCTCCTTTGTATAAGTCAAGGAACTATGATGGTGTAATTGTTAAAGCAGTGTGCACTGCCGAACAAAAGGTCAGTGGTTCTAACTCACCAAGCACTCCATTAGAGAAAAGATTTGACAGATTATTGTCACAAAGATTTCAGTCTTGGAATCCCTTTGGGACATTTCTAGTCTGTCCTTGACAGTTAGCATGAACAAAAATCAGCTTGACAACAGTGGATGGGTTGAATGGGTAAGTCAACCAGAACATTGCTGTTATTCCTAATAACTCACGCAGAGCTTCTGAGTGAAGACCATACATCAAGTCTGTCATTATAACCTGTCGCTCTTGCGCTGAAATCATGGTAATGACTCTTCGTCACATTGGAAGTTGAAGGCTGTCTTTCTCTCTCTCTATCCACTCCATTGTCTCTCTGACTTCACTTCCTCCAACTTCATCCCCTTCATCTCCACCTATCTCCTTCACTCATTGCTCCAGCCACCCTGGACTCCATGTTCTCTTGCTGGACACACATCTGTCTGAGTTATTTTGTCTAGATTAAAAATGAATTCTTGAGAGAGAGAGAGAGAGAGAGATATTTCTTCCCTGGATGTCTTGAACATCAGTTGTCCTCATTCCATGTAAGATGGCACCAACATCCAGAGGTACAACTTCTCAGGACCTACAGGATCTCTGTGGTCTCTTGGGTTTGCACCTTTGGACCTACCCCACCACCACTCCATTCCAACTCATCTGCTTCTTTCCTCTGGCTTTTTATTCTGTGGATTCATAATGTCCAATGTTGATTTCCTTCCAAAGAACGCCAAGTTCTCCACTAAGAAAGAAGCTCCTTTTGTGCTGGAGACATCTGAAATTGGTTCTGACCTTTTTGCAGGCGTCGAAGCCAAAGGGCTGAGCATTCGGTAAGTACTTTCCCTCCATTTTTCTCTTTTTAAACATCTACATGTTTCTAGACACTAGCTCAGAGTGATACTGCTTTGCTTCATTTCCAGGTTCAAGGTGGTGTTGAACAGCTGCTGGGCCACCCCCTCAGCTGACTTCATGTATCCGTTGCAGTGGCAGCTGATTAACAAGGGGTAGGTATTCTTCCCTGGAGAACAAGGACGAAGGTGGGACCAGGTAGAGCCCTGGCTACTTTGCTCTGGCTTGGGATATATTGGAAAGATGTAAGGTCCACTGGGGTCATATCCAGGCAAGTGTCTCTTCCTGGTACCCAGGCTAAGTACTAATTAGAAAACTCATATAATGTTTTCCAGGGACCAGGGACCATTCCAGGAACTTTATCATCTAGTATCTCATTTCTGTCTTACAACAGTGTATTATTCTCATCCTCAGAAGAGAAAAATGAGGCATGGGAGAGTTAAGGAAGGTCACATCATAAGTGTCTGTTTAAGGGGAGGTGGAGGAGGGTAGGTTCAAATCTGGTCAGTGTGATACCAAAGGACTTAAGTGAATAATCCACGTAAAAAGCTTAGCCTGTTACAATGTAAAGTCAGTATCCAGTGCTAAATCAGAAGATTATCCCAGAAATAGTGCTCACAGTTGGAAAAGAAGGAAAGAGCATAACCAGATACTGGCACTGGAAGCCAAGGCCAGGACAAATGTTTTTATTATTGATTCTGGAGACAATAGGGAGCTTAGCACTTTTGAATAGAGGATTGATGGACTAATGAGTTGAAATTGCACCACAGGAGAGCAATTCTAGATTAACTCTATTATCTGGAATTGCCCTGTGCATGTGAGAACACCCAAGTAGTACAACCATCTCAAAGGGTGACCCGATTTGGGGAAAAGACTTATGTGGTGATGCTGTAAACAAGTCTTAGCAGGACAGTAAATTATCTAGAGATGTGACTGAGGGGCAGGTGCTACAGCCGGTGCCAAAAGCCGGTGGTGCCAAGGGCCTGCCCATTGCCTCCTTCCTGCCCCCAACGAAGGTCTGTTTACATTATTTTCCACTGGCTTACAGCAGGCCTTGGACTCTCTGACTTCAAGGAACTATTTTAAGGACTCTGGTCTTGAGTTCACTCAAGGATCTCAGGTTTATTGACAAAATGATCCTCCTGCAAGGGTCACCTTTCACAATTTGGAGAATGTCCACAAGAGCATCACTGGTCAGTGGCTGCCCCAAGCAGAACTGAGCTTCTGACCCTGGTGCAGATAGTAAGGGGTGATGATTCATCCTCCTTTTGCCCATTTGAACTCAAGGTGGGCCTTGTGGTTCTGAGAAGGTGGGAGAGGGTCTCTGGTGAAAGTAACTTTCTGCATGTTGTTTTGGTGCTGCAACAGTCAGAGATGTTTTGGATATCATGGGAATAACTCTGCATTGCACTGGGAGTTGAAGTCTCACTCTCTCTCCATTATCTCTCTGACACCACTTCTTTCACTCACCTCAGAAATCATTCCTCAATCGGCTTCCTAATTGTGATATGTGATCAATCAAAATTCTTTGGAAATACAGTGCCACCAGTTACTGTAACACCAACTTCTACCCAGGACAACTCCAGGTTTTTCAGACTAGAACTGTGCTCCCTCAGTCTTCAAGGGCTGATTTTATTTATTTTTTATTTTTTAAGTGTGGTATGGATGGCAAAGAGATTGTGATAGTTAACAGTCTTAGTTTGTTTGGCTCCAGTCAACACTCTTGGTACCAGCAGCCAGGAAATCAAGAGAAGAATTGCATTGGGAAAGTCAGCTGCCAGGGACCTCTCCAGAGTACTGAAGAGCAACAACATCAAGCTGGAGAGTAAAATGCGCGTGATCTGGGCCATAATCTTCACAATTGCATGCTATGCATTAGAGAGCTGGACAGAATTGATGCCTTTGAGCTGTGATGCTGGAGAAGAGTGTTGACTATACCATGGACTGCTGGAAGAACAAACAAGTTTGTCCTGGAGAGGGTGAAACTGGGTTGCTCCTTGGAGGCAAGGATTCTGAAGCTTCGTCTGATATACTTTGGACATGTTGCAAGGAGGGACCAGTGCTTGGAGAAGGGACGTTATGCTTGGGAAGTTGGAGGGACAGCACAGGAGAGGAAGATCCTTGATGAGATGGACCGATTCAGTGATTGGGCTAATGGGAGTGTATGTCCAAGACAGTGAGATTGGCACTGGATAGAAAGAGCAGGGCTTAGAGCTCTTGTACATAGGGTTGCTATGAGTCACAGGTGACTTGACAGCACATAACAACAACAACAACATGGTAAATCATCATTCCCTCCAATCTCCAACCTTTCAGTCGGTAGCCAAGCACGCTAAGTTTTTCATCGTCCAGGTACTCTTAAGGGAGTAAGAACCCCTGGGGAAATGTTGTATATGAACTTGCTTCCGAAGCCCTTGCTTGGGTTTGATGAGGTAACCTCTCTTCCTCTCCCCTTCCTGCCTCAGCTGCCCCACAGATGAAACGGTCCTTGTACACGAGAATGGGAAAGATCACAGGGCAACGTTCCAGTTTAATGCCTTCCGGTTCCAGAACATTCCCAAGCTCTCCAAGGTCTGGTTACACTGTGAGACCTTCATCTGTGACAGTGAGAAGCTCTCCTGCCCCGTGGTGAGTCTGTGTTACCAGAGGGAGGATCATGGGAGGCTGGACTGGGGAGCTCTGGTTTTTAAAGCTGGGTGGAGAGGAATGCCGAGGGAATTCCAGAGGAAAAGAGTGCTGGGTATGGAATAGACAATCTGGAACCTGTCCATCCTGCCACTAAACAGCTACGTAGCCTGGGCCATCACTTGACCCTAACAGCCTGGACTTCTTCTCTTAAAAGATGAAACAATGATAAGTAATGGCGGTCCTTCCCTTTTCAGAAAGCGATGTCAGGTAAAATGAAAAGGATGAGAGACTGAAATGATAAGGAAAAGGTAAAGCACAGTGGAGATGCAAGGCCAGGTGGCAACAGCAGCTTCTGAGTATAGTCAAAAGGTGGATATTTTTAGCTCTTGACTGTGTAGACTGAGGGACTACCTCAGCTTCTGAGAGATGACATGGGGATCCCAAGGCTGGGGTCATGGCCAGTGAGATCCATGGCAGAAAGTCAGGGAGCGGGGTCTGGTTTGCAGACGTGCTGAGTGGACGTAGTGCCAGGGAGTTGGTTTTGCCTCCAGCTCCACACCCCCTCAATACACACACAAAGCCATTGCAGGCTCCAACCTCAGACCCAGGCTGAAGGCAGTCACCCATTTGGAGGGCTGTGGTCTTGCCCCTTCCAGCCCAGCACCACCTGGGAACTTCGTGAGACTTGCCAGTTCTCAGATGCCCCTCTACACCAGTCACTGCTAATTGAGTCAATTCCGAATTGTGGCAACACTGCAAAGCAGAGTAGAATATTGTCCTATCGGGTTTTCAAATCTGTCATCCTCATAGGAGCTGACTGACACATATTCTTGGTGGCACGGTGGACTAAGTGTTGGGATGTTAACTGAAAGGTCATCTGTTAGAATCTACCAGCTGCCTCAGGGGGGAAAAATAAGGTCATCTGCTCCTGTGAAGCGGTCTAGCCTCACAAAAAAAAAAAAAAAAAAAAAGGCAGAGATCCCTTCTGTCTCATCAGGTGGCCATAAGTCGGAATAGACCCAATGACTACGTGCTGATTTTTTGCTGTTGTTTTTACTCTTGCCCTGAGGAACAGCGAGTATGTGTGAGCCACTGGCAGAGGTTGGCAGCCAAATGCGTAACAACTGCATCACTACGGGCCTTTTACTCCAGGCTGACTGAGTCAGAACTCTGGACGCACCTCCCCCAGCCTGTTTTTAACAAGGCCTCCACGTGTTGGGACGCACATCAGAATGTGAGAATCACCACCTCCAACTCCAGCGCAAATGCTAAAGCTGGAACTATGACTTTCTCAGGCCTGCATGGTCTAGAGACCCCAACGCAGGGAGGTACACTGTGTCAGTAGGGGTTACTTGTTCACAGTTTATAGTAACCACCAGAAATGGCATTAGGATCTCTATTCCTGCTGAGTTCTTTGACCAGAAAGTGGTCACTTCTGGCCTATTCCGAATAGACAAAGTGAAAACAGTCAGAGGAAGCAGAGCCAAGCAAAGGTAGTCACTACCAGACAGAAATAGGCAACATGTTAAAAAAGAAGGGATACGAACTGAACCAGAACACGTGTGCAAGGCTTCTCACCGCAGTAACAGGCAGCCCCCTGCCGCCTTCTCATCCAAAGAAACAAGGTCAACCTCTCCCATGTCCAATCGCTCCCCTTCCAGCATAATTGCTCTCAGGTCTCTTTCATTAGCTTGAAGATTAGTAAGTTAGAAGTTTGTTTCATTTCTTGATTTGGTAATTTTTAAGATTTTTTTTTTCTCTTCTTCTTAGTAACAGTAGGAAAAAGAGGTAAGAAAGGGCACCCGACATGCTCGTTAGGAAAAAGGATGGTGAAACCTCATTTCACATACGTTGAGCATGTTGCCAGGAGACGCTAGTCCTTGGATAAAGACAGCAAGCTGGGAAAGGGTCAGAAAAAGAGGAAGACCCTCAACGAGGTGAATTGACACCATGACTGTAACAATGGGCTCAAGTCTATTAAAGACAATGCGGAAGCCATAGGATAAGGCAGCGTCCAGGTCTGTTGCTCACAGGGTCCTTTGGGTCTGTAATCAGCCTAACAAGGACAGTACAACAGCTGTTGATCGGGAGGGTCTGGCTCCATCCAGGCTGCGATGTCTTTCTTTCTTGGACTGTCATTTCTCTCTCTCTTTCTCATCATCCTCCAGACCTGTGACAAGCGGAAACGCCTCCTCCGAGAGCAGACGGGAGGCGTCCTGGTGGTAGAGCTCTCTCTCCGCAGTAAGCACCTCTGTGCCCCACGGTTTGCGTCCACTTCCAGGCTGTGTCCACAGGCACAGCCGGTTTGAGCATTTTGACTGAACCTCCAAACCACGTGTGCCTGTAGACACAGCCTCCAGCTGCCCCTGAACGCTCCCAGCTGGAGGGGAGGTTCAGCATGAGATAAGGAGTTAAGGTTTTGTCACAAGTCTGAAAAGCTCTGTGTGTGCCCTAAGTTCAAGGGACCCCAAGAAATTAAGAGGTGGCACAGGAGAGGACAGGTCTGCTGTTAGTGAATTGGATTCAACTCCCAGGCACCTACCAACAGCAGCTTCCAGACAAGGTGGTGCAGAGTATAAGCATGCTGTGCTGCTTTCCGAAAGGTCTTTGGTTTGAATCCCCACCTGCTCAATGAGCGAAAGGTGGAGAGCCTCCTCTAGGGATGAGGCTCAGCCCTGGAGACTGGGTGGTGGGTCACTCTGAACCAGAACCTAGCTGACAATCGTGGCTTGGCTTTGCAGTTTGGAGCTTCCAAACAGAACACAGACTAAAGAATAAGAATGAGTGAAAGAATTAGAACTGTCCAAGCTAAACCAAATCCTTTGAAGAACCTATGCTGTATCTGGTCCTGAGTTGGCCACTGGGGTTCAAGAAATAAATGAGACCCATGCAAGCCCTGTTCTCAAAGCACAGACCATCTAGCAAAGAGGAAGATGATGAACAGCTCATAGAAAGAGGGCTGACTGTCCGCGAGTGGGGCCAAAGGAACAAGGCGCTATGTGAGTGCACCCGAGGGAGTTCAAGCTCAGGCTGATGTAACCTGGAGGCTGAGCATCTTAGTAACCAACCTTACCAGTAAAACCAACTGGCATCAAGTTGATTCCAACCCACAACCACCTACATGTGTCAGAGTAGGGCCGTGTTCCACCGGGTGTCAGCCATTGACTCTAAAGAAGTGGATCACCAGGATTTTCTTCCTATGAGCCTCTGGGTAGATTTGAATCTCTAACCTTTTGGTTAGCAGCTGAGTGTGCGAGCAGCTGGCACCACACAAAGATTTCAATTATACTTGGAAGTGCAGTCATCCAGGGCCACATCGCAGCTGTGCACGATTTTGTTTGGTCTGCTAGTTAAGGGTATTTTTATTTTTTGGTTTTTACATTTTTATGTGACTAAAGGATGAACAAACTTCTTCCACTTAATTAAATGACTGAAAATTCATCAGAAGTCAACTATGCGTCGATTACAACTTGGTAGCACACAACAATGACAAAATTAAGAGGAGAACACCATTTTGTAGTCCATAAAAAATGGTATGAAGTTAAAGTTTCAGGGTCTGTAAAAAAGGGTAGTGGGTTTTTTAAAAACATAGATCAACACGGGTATATACACTACCTGCCATCAATGACTGCCTTAGCTGAGCTTGCAGTGCAGAACAGATATGGTGGTGATCGTTCAGCTCACAAAGCTCAATTATTTACTAGCTGGTCCTTTAAGAAAATGCATCACCACGCCTGACTTAACTGAGGGGCAGGTGTGAGAATAAAGTCTTTGCAAATGGTATAAACGTTGTGCTGAAGGTAATGGGCTGGGTCAGGAGAAGTCTGCATGTTAGAGACGTAGTTGCGTCTGCCTCTTCCCTCATATTAAACTCCATGTTCTTTCTTTTTGCTCACCACAGGCACAGGGTTCTCCAGCCTCTACAGCTTCGCAGGTAAGGATAAGAGCATGCCTGGGAGGGTCACAGGTAATGTGTTTGAAAGGCAGACGTGTGCTTTAAAAGCAGCTTACCTTGGCTGACAGCAAAACCTTCCAGAAAATTGCAACTGACAGGACACAGCTGGGTAAGGAGGAGGGCCGTTAATGAGACCCTGCTGCAGCCAGCCCTGAGCTCTGAAGGGAGATGGAGCTGGGATAAAATGATAACAGGTAGGCCCCACGCCCCCAAGACTCAGCAAAGCCATTACCAGGTGGCTTCGCCTGGGTGTCTTCATTTATAGACTAGGATTCACAATGATCTGTTAGTTCAGCAAATGCCTCTGAGCTCCCACTATGTCTGTGCTACTCACTAACTGTGTGAGCTTGGACAATTACCTCCTCTCAGCCACTTGCCAGTTTGTTCTGTTAAAGGAGCTAAAAAGTGTTCCTCTCCTACCTGGTGGTGGCAGGGACTCAATATTGCAGGTAAAGGGCCCAGAACAATGTCCAGCACACAACAAACATCTGATTGGGGTGCAATGATGATGCCGTTCCAAGCACTCTGCTAAGTATAGCAGCTGCTGTACCAAGAAAAGACACAAGAGGCGACTCAGTTGGGCGCCGAAGAAGCCTCTTTGAGGAAGAAACATTTCAACTATGACTCGAGACCAAAACAGGACCATTGTCTCCTTTGTTAACCTCGCACATAAGGACTTTGAGGTGTACATTACAGGAAAATGACATAAACCAATTTTTTACAAGACTCATCCTGTTGTTGTTATGTGCCGTCAAGTCGTTTGTGACTCATAGCGACCCTATGCACAACAGCCCTAAACCCTGCTCTATCCTGTGCCAATCTCATTGCCTCTGACACACCCATCC